AGAATGGAGAATCTTCACTTGGATTTTCCAATTCGTCTTGAAAGGTTTGATGTCAGCAGGGTTGACGATCACAAGATTTTCAGCCTTTTTTTCAAAGGAGTAGCAAGCGAAGAATGATTGCATGAAAGGTTAGTGTGTATCTAAACTTAACATTAAACATCTATTTATATGAAAAAGGTCGGCAAAATTCTTTTAAGGTTTAGAGAATGAATACATCAACAACCGTATATTAGCAAATAAGAATTTTAGAGGTATATGCTGATTTGTTAGTATTTCAAAATCTAGTTTTTATTAGATTTTGGAAATAGAATAATTTTGATCGTATTTAATGGGATTATGATTTATTTAGTTATCGATATTGAATGGATTTGTTTGTTATAGAAATCAATTTAAATGATAACTAACAAATTTGGTTTTGGGATTAATTCCTGAAGATATGACTAAATCTCGGAGAAATGTCACAAGCTGAATAATTGTCGGTGAAGCCCATTCAAAAACCACGAAGCCCAGTAAATTTGAGAAGCAATGGCAATCGGATCCTCCAACACTGGTAGCAAGATCCGCGAGTTTTACCGTTTTTAATAGATGTAGATCTGACCCAGCCACCCAAGCTCCGCGTTCTTTAAAAATGCACATTTGCCAATTTACCCTTTAACGTGTTTTTTTATAGTCTCTTTGATTGAAAAATTTGTAGTGGCATTCATCGTAATTAATCTATCAAAATAAGGTTTATTAGTTTTGAGTGATTCCCAATTAATAGTATAGATTATTTTCCCATTCAAAATTTTGAACTTGCATAGATAAATTTGGTTGAAAGCAATATCTCAACTAATAAGTAATAAGAGTAATAAACATAAGCTTGCAAATCAACGATGAAGTTGGGCCAATCCTATCTAAGCTTGATAATGGCTCAAAACGATTTGATAAAACGTAATGGAAAATTAGAAAACCATAAGAATCTTAACTGTAGCAATAGTACTTTTTTATTTAGGAGCCGATTGGTAACGACGGTAAGTTTTGGCTTTAGAAGCTTTGACTTTAAAAATTTGAGCTTCAGAGAATTTGACTGTAAAGACTTTGGCTGTATAAACTTTAGCTGTTAAAATCTGATTGGTAGCACAAAAGTGTAGAAGCTGTGACTCTTATTTATTATTATTATTATATATTAATAATAAATATAAATTAGGTTAGAAATGAATTCATATGAAAATATAGTTTTATTAATGATAAGAATTTAGAAAGAAAAAAAACAAAAATTGAGAAATAAAGAAATAAATAGATAAATATATTATGTAGAAATAAAATAATATATATTATTCATTGATTTTTAATAACCAAACATTACAATAAGAAAAAACTAAAAATCCATTATTTTTTTGGTAGGAACTTAAAATCCATTATTAATAATAAAATATTTATTTAAAAGAAATGATAATAGTTTAGAAATGTATGCATTTATTTAAATATATTATTTCATGCCGAAATTTAATACCCAACACATTAGTAAGAAGTAGGATAAACTTAAAAACTCATATGGCTTTTGAAAAAATACTAATTCTATATACTCTTTTAAACATACATTAATGATGATGATGAAAACAAAATGATTATTAGTAAAATGGATCTTAAAAGAAAGATAGAAAAATGAAAATAATTAATTTATAAATAAAAAGTTATGAAAAAATATATGTAAAGGTGTAGATAGTTTTTAATTATCAAGGGGATAAAAAAAAAGAAGCTTTTAATTGTTTATTTATTTGATAAATGTCTCCAAAAAGCCAAAGCCACGTTTTTTAGACTTAAGAAAAAGAAGAGAAACAAAGAAGGAAAAAAAAAATATGTTCGATCTATGGTCATTTTCATCACATTCATATAGATATAGATCTTTTTTTAAAACTATTGAACGTATCTTGATAATTCAAGTCTAATTTGTGTGATTTTTATATACATATCTTGATAATATTTCTGATATTGTTCGGTTTTAGTTCTAAAATATCCGAATTTTTTGGGTATTTTAGACTATTTCGGGTATTTTTTTGGTATTTCAAATATTTTCGGATATTTTTTGGTTATTTAGGTTCATATCTATTTGGTTATTCGGATATTTTTCGAATATTTGAATATTTTCCGATTATGTGGTTTTAAGAATAACTCATAATTTAGATATATACAGTAAAACCTCTATAAATTAATAATGTTAGGACCATGATATTTTATTAATTTCTAGTGGATTAATATTTATTATTTTTTCGTATAAATTAATAAATACTAATTTTTAGAGAGATTTGGTGTAATTTTTAAAATTTCTAAAAAATATGAAATTGATATTTTTGATCTTAAATTATGGACTTTGGATTTGATATTTAGAAAAATATTTTTTCAGCGATAAGTTACAAAGATTATAAGGGAATTCACTTATACAAACGATACACATAAATTGAAATTTATGATCAATGACCTCATGTGTCATATTTAACATCATAAAGACTATCAAAATAAAAATTATGCATATTCATAAAATCTTAGAGGAAAAATTAGTTATTTTTATCCCGTAGTTATAAAATATAATACAACACTTTTTTTAAAGACACAAAACAATTATTTTATAAAATAAAAGTTAGAGACAACCTCTAACAAAAATTTAATTTCTTAGAAACGAATTAAAGCATGCTTTAGTATATTCTATTTCTATGATTATTAATTTATGATATTATTGAGACCATATTTTTACATAAGTATTTCAAAAAATTTATTATCTTATTATCTTATCAAATTTGACTAATTTTTACACTGGTCCGACTCGGAACCGGTAAAATTTATAATTTTATCTTGTTTATTAATTTATCGAGTATTAATTTATAGATGTTCTATTATAATTATATTTTGGTTTTGGATCCGGCTCAATTCCAAACTTTTAGGTTCTTGAGTTTATAATCTATTTAGGTATTTAATCGGTTTCGGTTCGGTCCAGTTTCTCTACTTACGTTTTGGTTCTGTTTTGGTATTTTTGGTTTGGGTATTTTGCTCAGGACTAATGGGAGTATGGGACTACATGTATATAACTCGGGGGACATGTTTGTTTACACTAGTAATTGATAGAAATTATGCAAACTAAACCGGGAAAAATATCGTTTAATAGCCCAACTTTCAAAAAGTGGTCATTTTAATTTCGAATTCTGTAAATGGCTATTTTATACTTGAACAAAATGTTGACCAGCCATCTGAACCAATTGAATGTGTTGACCAGGTCAAAACGACACACCGTTAATAGGCACTAACAGAACCGCTAACACCCGTTAGCACCCGTTAACGAGTCTCCGTTTGTGCCAAAACGACGTCGTTTTACCCTTAAACAAAACTCCCAAATCGATTTTATCCCCAAATCGAGAGATCAAATCCTAAACCTAAATCTAAACGAAATCCCTAATGCAGTACCCAAATTCTTCAATTCGTCTTCCCTAATGCCACTAGTTGGACACAAAGACGTCATTTTGAGGATGGGTTCTCCAAAGCTTGGCGAATCAGAGAGTTCTATGAGAGATGGAGTTGAAGCACCACTGCGAAGCGAAGAAGATGTTATCGAAGATGGAATGCGAGCTCAAACCAATGTTGTATCAGAGTCTTGTGGTAGAGAAGAGGAAGCTCTAACGAATGTAGTTTCAGATTCTGTTGTGGGAGATGAAGCTGAAGCTCGTGCTCCAGGTCGACGAAGAAAACGAAGGAAAGTCAGAGTTGAAGAGGACGATGAAGAGCCTGAAACATGAAACCAAATAAGACACTAATGCAAAACTAGTAACCAAGAACAAAATTTTGTTTTTTGTCTCCAAAACCAAACAGTAGGATAACAAGGACAATGACAGTAACACAAAGGCACACCAAGCACAATTTGATCATCATTTTCCATTTCTTGATCTCCCTTTTGCTCCACATTCCTTCTTCCTTCAATTCTTTGATCATAACCTTTAACTCTTCAATCTCGACAGCAACCTCAAATTTGGCATTTACTATCTCGCTGTCAATGATGGAGAATTTTGGCATAGCATCAACAACCTCCTCGTATACACCATCTTCGACCCATCTAAACAAATGATCCTGCATTTACAAACATTATTCTTTTATCTGCGAAACCCAAATAGACATAAAATCAAATCCACTTACATCTTGTTTGGTTGGACAAAGGAAGAAAGGTCTTCCAGGGTTCTGCTTCGTCGCCGATGTCTAGATGACGACGTCTAACCCGCAATGACACTTCGAAGGAAACCCACAGCCTCCGTCTTGAACGCAAGAATTCCCAGAATTGCAACTCATTTCTTGAGCTCAAGATCGAGAATTCGATGAAGATTGAGATTGAAAGCTCAAAGAATTGAAATTGGGAGTTTTAGGAATTTGAGGTTTATGATTTGGGGATAAAAACGAAATCGATTTCGGTGGTTTCGTTTAAATGTAAAATGACGTTGTATTTGGCATTAACGGAGACTCGTTAACAGGTGTTAGCTGTTCTATTAGTGCCTGTTAACGGTGTGTCGTTTTGGCTTGGTGAACGCATTCAATTGGTTCAGATGGCTAGTCAACTTTTTATTCATGTATAAACTGGCCATTTATAGAGTTCGAAGTTAAAACTGCCATTTTTTGAAAGTTGGACTATTTTTTTTTTGTACAAAAAATTAGACTATTAAACGATATTTTTTCCAAATTAAACCTGTGACCTATTGTCGAAGCGATGAGATATTGCCACGTCATACTTTATTATCGAGAAATAGCGCTAAGATTCTGCCACGTCTTACATCGCTAAGAGATTTTGCATCGTCCAACGAGATTTGGAGGGAAACAGAAAAGGTACGTACAAACCTACAACGTTTAAGAAAAAATTAAGCAACCCATAATTAATTACAATTAAATTTAAATTTAACAAAAAATTCTATTTACAATAAATCAATAATAATGACTTTTTTTTTTTTTTTTTGACAGTGGACATATAATTACTAATTAGGCCGTGTGAAACAAACTCTCATGTCTCATCTCTTTCTCCCAATTTATATCGTTGTTGGTGGCCGGAAAATTACATCTCCGCCCACCGCCGCCGGAGTAATCCATGTTATCTGATCGGCGGAGCCATCCGTTGTAGCGTCGGATATTATTCGCTGCAGTTACCTCTCATTGAGGGAATATTTGCAGATCGATCTATCGTCGATTTAGATCTGGCGTTCCTAGGGTTCATCGACGTTGGAGATTCATGGTCTCTGGTGATTGCATTTTCGAAATTGGGGAAAATTAAGGTGTTGTGTAGATGGATAGAGGTGGGAGGAGATCTGGTGAATCTCCAGGGGTATTGATAAAGAAGAGAAGTTCCTCTGGTTGCTTGATTGTGAAGAAGAACGATGGTGTTGGTAGGATTTGTTCGTTTTCTGAGAATCGTCCGAATTGGGAGTCCAATAAGAGGTCTAGGATGATTTTGAGTGATTCTGAGTCTAGCGATAAATTTGCGATCCCTCAAAATATGCGACACTATCTTAATGTAGAAGAGAGTCGTTTTGTGGGGAAGAGTAGAGAGTGGAAGGAGAGTAAGAGGCATAGATTAGATGATGATGACGATGATGATGATGATGATGATGAGGAGAGTGAAGATGAATTGTTGGCAATGAGGATGAGGAGGTCGTTTGATGGAAGTGGAGTTGATATTGGTAAGAAAGCTTATTTGGGTTCTGCTCAATTTGGGAATGGTAGGGAATATGGAACTGGTTCTAGTCGTAAAGATTTAGATGTTGAGAAGAGAAGAAAACCGTATTTAGATGGATCAGGGAACATAGGTTTTGGTAATCAAGGTTATAGAAACATGTGTAAGGTTAGTGGAAACGAAGGTAAAACTACTCCTGCGTTGTTGTTGCAGAGGAGGTACAAGCATGACATGAATTTCGATGAACCAATTAGGGTGCAGGGGAAAAATGGTGTCCTCAAGGTTATGGTGAACAAGCAGAATAAGATAGGAGGGTCACTGCAAAATGCGAAAGCTGAACAATCTCAATATGGCTCAAAGATTCAAGAGACTGGTAAAATACGTGTTGCTATTCAGTCGCCAACCACTCTAAAAACTGAAAAGTTGCCGAAACTGCTTCCCCCGGCCAGAATACAGTCGAACGGGTTAAAAATGCCTATGTCCTTAACCATGAAGAGTAAGGGACAGGACCAAGATTCTGAAGATAGTGATAGCTCGGGGCGGCTGCAGAAGAGAATAATACAACCTCATAAGCCCTCTCATATTTCAAGCACTGGAGGAGAAAATACTTTACCTGAAGTGTCAATGCCTTCAAAAATCAGAGATGGAAAGATTAGGCGTGGTTCAGGCACAGAAAAACAAAGATTACGTGAGCGAATCAGGGAAATGTTACTGGAAGCAGGGTGGACGATTGACTATAGACCTAGGAAGAATAGAGACTACCTAGATGCAGTTTATATAAGTCCTAGGGGAACAGCGTATTGGTCTATTATAAAGGCCTATGAAGCACTTCTGAAGCAGTTAAATAGTGGGGAAAAAGCCAAGCCTTGTGAAGATAGTTCCACATTTACACTGATCTCCGATGAGATACTCAGTCAGTTAACAAGGAAAACCAAAAGAAAGATTGAAAAAGATATGAAAAGTGAGGAACAATCTGCCAGTGATAGCGTTGGAAAAGCGACTTTTGCAAGAAATTTCTTAGCTATTAAAAATGAAGTAGGAAACGATGACAGGTATTTTCATAAAGAACAGCGAGATGTCATGTCTGTGAAGAATGAGGTCAATAGCAGAGATAGTTCACGGGGTACAACTTCAAAAAGTGCAAGCCCTTTGCATCACCAAACTGAAAAGTCAACTGGTTCCTCCTCTCACCATGTGGATGGAGGGAAAAGTAGCAAACATGTTAGGAGTACGCTGTCGGTACGGCGTCCAGTCAGAGGAGATAATTCAGAGGGTGATGGTTTTGTACCCTCATCTGAAAAACAGACGATACTGGCATGGCTGATTGATAGTGGAACCTTAAAGTTGAGTGAAAAGGTGATGTACATGAACCAACGACGGACACACGCAATGCTTGAGGGTTGGATAACAAGAGACGGGATTCACTGTGGTTGCTGTAGTAAAATTCTTTCAGTTTCAAAGTTTGAGATACATGCTGGAAGCAAATTGCGGCAGCCATTTCAGAACATATTTTTGAATACTGGGGTTTCTCTTTTTCAATGCCAAATAGATGCATGGGATAAGCAAAAGGGTGCTGGGAACATTGGTTTTTGTTCGGTAGATGTAATTGCTGATGATCCAAATGACGATGCTTGTGGTATTTGTGGAGATGGAGGTGATTTAGTTTGCTGTGATGGTTGTCCCTCAACTTTCCACCAAAGATGCCTAGACATACGGGTATGCTGATTTTGCTGTATATATGTCTTGTTTTGTTTATTTTTGACAATCAGTGCTAAGCTATGCAAATTTACAAGGTACAATGGTTTATGCGGTGCTCTGTATAAACAGGTTTTAGAACAATAATACTTTTAGCTAAATGAACGGACAAGATTCAATACATACGTAAACTCTATTGAGCTGAAGTGTCGTTGACTTTTAACTACACCAGGGTTGTTTTAGGGTCATCTGATGCCTGATTGGATCTTTTTGAGGTTCAATTACAGATGTTTCCTCTTGGTGATTGGCATTGCCCCAATTGTACATGCAAATTCTGTAGGGCAGTTATTGAAGATGTTACTCAGACCGCGGATGCAAATACCTGCAAAATGTGTGAGAAAAAATGTATGTCATTAGTTTTTCCCTGCCTTGAATATTACATTTTTGTTGTCACTCAGTTTTGTTTGTAGTATCTAGTTGATGTTCTCCCTTTTCTAGATCACAAATCATGCATGCTGGAGGCAAACGTTACCCCAGCCGATACCACTGAACCAATTATCTCTTTTTGTGGGAAGAAGTGCAAAGCGGTACTTTTCTTTCAAGTCTCTTAACCCTTGCAAATTTCATTCAGTTTATAAAAGCGTGGTGTAGCTTCTAGGCGGTACAACGTAGATTAAAATTGCTAGGTGACTGATCCATATTTTGTTACCTAGTATTTTCTGTTGATAAAAAAGACTTTTTATTATGATTGCCATTAGATTAGTGGACGTTGCATGCTCCAGTTAGAATTTTGTACCTTTTTAACCAAGCTAGACATGTTGTGGCCATAATCCTGGTATGAAGTGTCAACATACCATGCCTTGTTGACGGGCATAACTGAATTCTGAAAGACATGAGTATAATATCCTGTGTGATTCCCAAATATTTTTTGTCCTTTACCAAAGCATTCTGTCAGAGAAATTTATTGTTGATTTCAGCTCTCCGAAGGTGTCAAGAAGTATGTTGGTGTCAAACATGAGTTGGAAGCTGGATTTTCATGGTCTCTAGTTCATAGGGAATGTGCAGATTCAGATTTATTCTTAGGTGAACACCCTCATATTGTGGAAAACAATTCCAAGCTTGCATTAGCTCTGACTGTCATGGATGAATGCTTTTTGCCCATTGTTGACAGACGGAGTGGTGTGAATATAGTACGAAATGTCCTTTACAATTGTGGGTAAGCTTTTCAGCACTTCAAATTTTTTTGTCTGCGTTATTAAACTGCATTTTGTTTTTTTTATTTATTTATTTTGCTTTGTGTTGGTCTTCGCTTATACATTGCTTTTCTTAGGTCGAACTTCAATCGGCTGAACTTTGGTGGATTCTATACTGCTCTTCTTGAGAGAGGCGACGAAGTAGTTGCTTCTGCATCTATTAGGTTATTCCCCTCCTGATAATCCTTTGTTTTAGTTTTAATCCTATGTGAGATGGCAACAAAAAGGATGGCAGAGATAATGCTAGTGTCAAGATTTATTTCGTTTGTGCATGCTTATCTTATGCACTTTAAGAATTTCGTTTGTTTTGATGCACTGGTTATTTAACGATATTTACCCTTCTCTTTAGATTTCATGGTAACCATCTAGCTGAGATGCCGTTCATTGGAACTCGGCATGTCTACAGACACCAAGGGATGTGCCGGCGGCTTTTCAGCGTCATTGAATCAGTAAGTGCAAAACTTTGATGTAGCGAAGTTAACTGACTCTTTCTTTAAAACTCTGCTAATATCTTTTCTGGTTCTTTATGTCTTTTGATGTGAAGGCTCTTCAACGTCTCAAAGTCAAGTTACTTATTATCCCTGCAACCGCTGACTTTAGCCATGTTTGGATATCAAAATTCGGGTTTCGACATGTCGAGGATTCTCTGAAGAAAGAAATGCGGTCCATGAATCTGCTAGCCTTCCCTGGCATTGATGTGTTACAGAAAGAGCTGTTAGCACCAAGACATGCTGAGTCTGTTGTTGAGACAGGTTTTACTTTAATATCAATTTAGCTTTTTCTTCATCTTTTTCTTTCTTATCAATTTTCTTACTTTGGCTTTACTATTTGTCAAGAAGAATGTGACCCATGCAATGAAGGCACCAATTCTGCGATCAAGACTAATGAAGTTTCCGTCTTGGAGATCGCATCTCCTTCAGGAGATAAACCAATACCAGATTATGTGGTCGAACACCAACTGTTTACGGATGAAAATTCCGCTTCCCGAGATAGTCCAGTCCACAATGGATACCCCAAAATGCAAGAGACCGAGTGCAAAATTTCAAACATGGCGAGATCATCAGATATGGAGAAGCACATGGACTGCAAAACTTCCTTTAGTCCTTTTGTTGGAGAAGATGAGGAAGATAGTTTAATTGAGTCTCCTCCTCAACGGAACAGCGACATGGCTTTCTTAGATCACATTATCCGTTCTCCGGTAGACACTGGTGAAATGGCAAACGGAGATGTGTATGGTTCAGGGGATGATGATTCTCCGGAAACGCAATGAAACAGAGTTGAATTGCTGATCTGTCTTTTTAAGCATTTTGGTGTCTAGTACAAACACCAGAATCGCTTTTTTCGAATAGAATTTGTTAATAATGTTTATATATGTTTTATGCATATATTTTATATTGTATATGTTCATGGCTTTTGAGCCCTTCTCTCGCCGCCAAGCTTCACCACGGTGAGGTTTTTTTTGCCCTCTTTATTGCGCGCCTCTCTTCTGTGTTGTCTTCTCGTTTGTTCCTCTTAATAATTGTTTTGATGAAGCATTGGATGATCGTTGCATTTTCTCCCAAATAGTGAATTTGGTGGAAAATAGAACAATTTGTTTTCTATTCACATTCTCATCATATTTGAGAAAATTCAGTCACAATTCTTCATTATTCGCCAAAATGACATACGTATCAATTGTTGTTTTCCAACTAATTCAACCAACTTTCCCATCAGTTTAACCATTGTTAAATCTGAATCACCGTATATAATAATAGTAATTTTTTTTTTTGTTAATTTTGTTGTTAAAAAAAAAGAGGTATTTTAGAATACCTCATATTACCCGATTATTTATTATTAATAATCGTTTAGTTTTGTTTGATCTCTCTCTTTCTCCATCTCTCTCAATGCCTGTCTCGAGCATCGAACACGTCAAGCGTTGCTTGAGCAATGCCTACGCTGACCAGATAAGCTACGAGAACCAAGGCGATCAACATCACGCTTCATATTATTTTTAACGCTAGCAACTTGACTTTTCTAAGAAAGACGCTGATGTGATGTCATTAATGGAATTTGCAGGAATTTTGTGAAAAAATACTGATATATGATCAGCTATTTGCATTTGAGTGGAGACTACTCAGTCAAGTCGGGGTATTGGTTAGTGTCTTCTCTTAATTTAGGTGATGTGGCTGCTCAAGCCTTAATGCAACCATCACTTAATGAGCTGAAAATCCAAGTGTGGAAGCTAAAAACAGAACCAAAGATAAAGGTCTTTTTGTGGAAGGTTTTAAGTGGTTCCATCCCAGTTGTGGATCTCCTGTCTTATAGAGGTATGAAGATAGACTCTAGGTGTCAATCTTGTGGCTGTGAAGGAGAATCTATTCACCATGTTCTGTTTGGATGTGCATTTCCAAGACAAGTGTGGGCTTTGTCGGATTTTCCTTCTCCGGAGTTGGGTTTGAAAGGGGTTCTGTTTACTCAAATATATATCACTTTTTGATAAACAGAGATAACCTAAAGTGGCCAATTGAGTTGAGAAGAAGTTTCCCTTGGATCATTTGGAGGATTTGGAAAAATAGAAATCTTTTCTTTTTTGAAGGTAAAAGATTTTCTGCAGTAGAAACAATGATGAAAGTGAGGGAAGATGTTGAGGATTGGTTTGCGGCTCAAGTGGTGGAAGGTGAAAGGAAGTTTTTATTGGATCAAGAGGCTCTCGCGGGATCAACTTTGGAAGCTTTGTCCCCTGCTGCCCGTTGGTTTCCTCCACCTCTGGAGTGGTTCAAGTGCAACGTTGGGCTGTCTTGGTCTAGAAGAAATAGTTTGGCAGGAGTCGCGTGGGTTTTAAGGAATGATTTAGGCAATGTTTTGATGCATAGTCGACGAACTTTCACTAATATCAACTCATTGGTGGAGGCTCATTTCTTGAGCATTGTTTGGGCTGTTGAAAGTATGGTTAGCCATAGAATTAACAGAGTTATTTTTGGAGTGGAATCTGCGGTGTTGGAAGGTGTGATGAACAGACCACAAGCTTGGCCTTCCTTCAAATATCATGCTTCAGAGATAATGGAGGTTGTAAAGGTAATTGCAGATTGGAGAGTGTGTTTGGAATCGGTGGCTTCAAATAGAGGTGCTAATCTCATTTCTCAAAGTGTTACTAAGGAGTGTAGGCTTCAATCGTATGTGGCCTCAAGTTTTCCTTCTTGGCTCCTTGGTGTCTTTAGAGATGAGAGAGTTCTAACTTCTGTGGGCTGAAGGTCTTGCTGTTTTTTGGCTTCTTGTTCTTTTGGGAGTTATATTATTTTGTTTGTTGCCCTGTTGTATGTTTTTCTCAGGTTTGACTTTTAGATTGGTGTTTCTTGCCCTTTGGCCCATTTTTTGGAATGACTTTTCTCAAGCCTGTTGTAAATCTCTCTATCTTTAATATAATTCCAGTTGACAAAAAAAAAAAAAAAATGATCAGCTATTTGCAAAAACAAATGTAACAATTCGTTGTCTATTTGAAGAAATTCAGCCACAGTTCTTCATTATTCACCAAATGATGTATCAATTGTTTTATTCAACTAATTCAGCCAATATTTCCATCAATTCAACAATACCACTTATTCAACTAAATCTATTTTTGTTTTTGTTTTCTTTTTTTACTTAAAAAAAAAAAAAAGAGGTATTTTAGAATACCTCATATATGATTCATATGCAGTAAAACCTCTATAAACTAAGAAGAGGTGCACTGATTTAATACTCCTCTCTGTCTGGTTCTCACTGCCTTTGCTCTCGAAGCATCGAACACGTCCCGCGTTGCACTTGACAGTGCCTTCGCAGACCATCAAGCTACAAGAGCAAAGGCAAACACAGTTCCCATTTGCTATATATGTTTAAAAGACATTGATGTTATTCGACGTCGTTGTGGTTTAAGTAACAAAATCAAAAGTCTCATCTAGTGGTCTTTCTCTACTCCGACTAAACCATGGAGTTGCTCTCTTCTTCACCGGCTCAGCTTCTGAGACCAAATCTCAGCTCTAGGGTTTTACTTCCTCCACGAACATCAATCGCTTCTTATCCATTTCCTCCTCGATTCCTACGGATGGATTCTCAATCTCAGCATCGTCAATCTATCTCTTGCGCTTCTTCTCCTCCCGGAGGTAACGGTTTTCCGGCGATTACCACCGCTTCTCCAATCGAATCAGGTAAACATCTTGAAATATATAGCTGAGAGATTTATCTCAATCTCAATCCGACTGTCCATTTCCTGGTTTCTTAAGTTTTTGTTGGTTTGGGTTGATTCGATCAGCTCGAATAGGTGAAGTGAAGAGAGAAACAAAGGAAACAAATGTATCAGTGAAGCTTAATTTGGATGGTAATGGAGTTTCAGATAGCTCCACTGGGATTCCTTTCCTTGATCATATGTTAGATGTAAGTAAACCTTTCTCTCTATCAATTCAATTTTTGACAACTTGAAAATTTCTTCAAGTTTGATCCTTTATGATACTGGCATGAGTTTAAATACCTATGAATCTGTCCATTTTATATATGTTTTCTTGAGATTTGATAAATTGTTGTTTGTGATTCTTTGGTTAGCAACTTGCTTCACATGGATTGTTCGATGTACACGTAAGAGCTACTGGTGATATTCATATTGATGATCACCATACGAATGAAGATGTTGCGCTTGCCATTGGAACGGTAAGTAGTGAAGTGCTTGTTTCATTGTCTATTTAGTGAGTTCAGAGAGTAGCATTCTTTGGAAGTTGTAGTTGTATATTGCTATTTTTGTTTCTGTCAGGCTTTGTTGAAGGCACTTGGGGAGCGGAAAGGGATTAACCGTTTTGGCGATTTTACAGCTCCTCTTGATGAAGCACTTATACATGTTTCCCTAGTATGACACACAATCTGTGAACTTGCTGTTGTATCTATATAATAGTATGTTTCCGGAAGTATTTTGTCGTTGTTGATGGATGAAAATCTCGCAGGATCTATCTGGTAGACCATATCTTGGCTACAACTTAGAGATTCCAACCCAGAGAGTAGGAACATACGACACTCAGGTCCTTCACATTTAGGTTTTAAGTATCCAGTTTTAGGTTTTTCTATTGTTTTCTTGTTTTGTTAAATCACTAAATGACTCTTTTCCCATTTAGTTGGTGGAACACTTCTTCCAGTCATTGGTGAATACTTCTGGTATGACACTTCACATTCGACAGGTATAACGATTCCAATCTTTCATAACAGAAAATTAACCTTTTACTTAACAATTATCTCTGAGATCAATTTGTTATGACAGCTTGCTGGTAAAAACTCTCATCACATAATAGAGGCGACCTTTAAGGCCTTTGCAAGGGCTCTCCGACAAGCAACAGAGTCTGATCCACGTCGCGGTGAGACAATACCAAGGTCTGACTTCGACTCATAGATGCAAACCTAATCTTAATCAAAATCTTACCTCAGAGAAAAGGCACACACACTAATACACACTACACATGTCATTCACCATTCAATATTTATTGAAAAATATTTGGTCATTCAATATTGGAAAGAAGCAAAATATGGCTGGAAAGACTGTACATGATGATAAAACAAGTCTGACGTTCTAAGTTTACGGTACATTTGCAGTTCAAAAGGAGTCTTGTCTCGGTCATAAGAGGTGGTGAAAAAGAGTTTCAGTCTACTGTTCTGAGTTCATGGGAAAGGATCAGTTTTCTTATGTACAATGTCAAACCTGCTGAATCTTTGTTCATTTGCAAAGGTCAGTGTATTTTAAGTTCATCTATATTGTGTTGTTGGAGACTGCTTTTTTACTATCTCAGAATTTGATTTTGTTTTTGCTTTCACCCAATGTACAGTAGTGTAATCCTTGTCAGTGCACTTAGATTGGTTATTGTTGCTCTCACGGATCTTATTGATCTCTTTGGTTCTTCTGGGTTCACTTGAAATCACCAAAACTAGGTGATTGCCCGCGCAAATGCGCGGGAATAATGCTGTGAGAATGGTAAAATCATGTGAGATAAGGGATTGTTTAGGTGTTAGTGTAAGAAAATATGGTAAATTGTTTAGGGTTTAGTGTAATAAAATATGGTAAATGTTGAAATTAAAAAATTCAATAATATTATAAATGCTAAGAAAATAATAATAAATCATCTTCTAAACAAAATTGCAAGAAAATAAGAAATCAACGAACACAATCACTCCATGGCATTCTCCTTGCGTGTGATGATAGGTACTTGGTCGTTTTCAGGATTCCTGACATCCAATTTAGAACACCATAAACAGTAAATGTTCAGTCGCCAACTTTAGAGTTTTGATTGTAAACGGGAAAAAACAAAAAATACTTACCAACAAAGCAACTCGTCGGTAATACTGAGATCCGGATTACGCATACCAAATTGTGACGTGGACAGATCCAAGTGGATCCTACCAAAAATGTGTGGGATCTGACCCCAACAGTTTTCAGGATTCATGACATCCGATTTAGAACACCAGAAAAAGTTAACGTTCAGTCGCCAACTTTAGAGTTTTGATTGTGAACCGAAAAAAACCAAAAAATAATTACCAACAAAGCATCTCGTCGGTAATACTGACTATTTCTTGTCAAACTCATCAATCTGCAAATGATTTCTACGTTTATCAAGTTCTCTTTCATCGGATTGTAGAAAACCGTCAATTTTGTATCTCTTGTTTTGTTATCATGGTTATAGCCACACTCATCAATGAGAAAATAATTTTTACGTTTATCAAGGGTTCTTTTATTACGTTGCAGAAACACATCAATTTTTTTTTTTTTATCATAGTTATAGCCAAACTCATCAATCAGCAAATGATATTTACGGTTTTTAAGGGCATTTTTATAACGATGCAGATAACAGTCAATTTTACCCATTTTTCCGTTATAATGGTTATAGCAAAACTCTTCAATTAGAAAATAATTTATACATTTATCAAGAGCTCTTTCATCAGACAGAAGAAAACCGTCAATTTTGATCTCTTTTCTTTTTGTTATCCTGGTTATAGCCAAACTCATCATCAACAAATAATTTCTACGTTTATCAAGAGCTTTTTCATGAGGCTACATAAAACCATCATTTTTGATCTTCTTGTTTTTTTCACATGGTTATAAACTCATAAATCAGAAAATCATTTCTACGTTTATCAACATGTGTTTCATTAGGCTGTAAAAAAACTATTAGTTTCGCTCGTTTTTTTGTTATCATGGTTATAGCCTATCTCATCAAGCAGCAAATGATTTCTACGTTTATCAAGAGCTCTTTCATCAAATAGGAGAAAACCGTCAGTTTTGCTCTTTTTTTTTTGATATCCTGGTTATAGCCAAACTCATCATCAACAAACAATTTCTACGTTTATCAAGAGCTTTTTCATGAGGCTGCATAAAACCATCATTTTTGCTCTTCTTTTTTTTTATCATGGTTATAAACTCATAAATAAAAAAATAATTTATACGTTTAACAATAGGTGTTTCATTATGCTGTAAAAAACCGTTAGTTTCGCTAATTTTTTTGTTATCATGGTTATAGCCAAACTCATCATCAGTAAATGATTTATACGTTTGACAATAGTTTTTTCGTGATCCTGCAGAAAATCGTCAATTTTGCTCCTTTTTCGTTATAATTGTTATAGCCAAACTCATCAATCAGCAAACGATTTCTAGGTTTATCAAGATCTCTTTCATTAGACTATAGAAAACCGTCAATTCTTGGTTCTCTTGTTTTGTTATCATGGTTATAGCCAAACACATCAATGAGCAAATAATTTATACGTTTATCAAGTTCTTTTTCATGAGCTTGCAGAAAACCGTCAATTTTGGTCATTGTTTTTCGTTATTATAGTTATAGTAAAACTCATCAATCTGCAAATGATTTCTATGCTTATCAAGTTGATCTCTTTCATCGGATTACAGAAAGCCGTCAATTTTGCCTCTCTCGTTTTGTTATCATAGTTATAGCCACACTCATCAATGAGCAAATAATAGTTACGTTTATCAAGGGCTCTTTCATTACGTTAAAGAAACCAATCAACATTTTTTTTTTATCATGGTTATAGCCAAACTCATCAATCAGCAAATGATATTTACAGTTATCAAGGGCATTTTTATAAAGTTACAGAAAACTGTCAATTTTACCCATTTTCCGTTATAATGGTTATAGCAAAACTCTTCAATTAGCAAATAATTTATACATTTATCAAGAGTTCTTTCATCAAATAGGAGAAAACGTTCAATTTTGCTCTCTTGTTTTTTGTTATCCAGGTTATAGCCAAACTCACCATCAACAAATGGTTTCTACGTTTATCAAGAGCTTTTTCATGAGGCTGCATAAAACCTTCATTTTTGCTCTTCTTATTTTTTTTATCATGGTTATAAACTCATAAATCAGAAAATAATTTCTACGTTTATCAATAGGTGCTTCATTAGGCTGTAAAAAAACCGTTAGTTTCTCTCATTTTTTTTATCATGGTTATAGCCTATCTCATCAAGCAGCAAATGATTTCTACGTTTATCAAGAGCTCTTTCATCATTCTGTAAAAACTTATCAATTTTGCTCATTTTCCGTTATAATGGTTATAGCAAAACTTTTCAATCAGCAAACGATTTCTACGTTTATAAAGAGCTCTTTCATGAGACTACATAAAACCGTCAAATCTTCTCCTCTTTTTTTGTTATCATGGTTATAGTCAAACTCATCATCAGTAAATGATTTCTACGTTTGTCAATAGTTTTTTAGTGAGTCTGTAGAAAACCGTCAATTTTGCTCCTTTTTCGTTATCATTGTTATAGCCAAACTTATCAATCATCAAACGATTTCTAGTTTTATAAAGATCACTTTCATTAGACTATAGAAAGCCGTCAATTCTGGTTCTCTTGTTTTGTTATCATGGTTATATCCAAACACATTAATGAGCAAATAATTTCTACGTTTATCAAATTCTTTTCATAAGCTTGAAGAAAACCGTCAATTTTATTCAATATTTTTCGTTATTATAGTTATAGTCAAACTTATCAATCTGCAAATGATTTCTATGTTTATCAAGTTCTCTTTCATCGGATTACAGAAAGCCGTCAATTTTGTCTCTCTTGTTTTGTTATCATGGTTATAGCCACACTCATCAATGAGCAAATAATTTTTACGTTTATCAAGGACTCTTTCATTACGTTGGAGAAACCCATCAACTTTTTTTTTTAATCATGGTTATAGCCAAACTCATCAATCAGCAAATGATATTTATGGTTATCAAGGGCATTTTTATGAAGTTGAAGAAAATTGTCAATTTTACCCATTTTCCGTTATAATTGTTATAGCAAAACTATTCAATTAGCAAATGATTTATACATTTATCAAGAGCTCTTTCATTAAATAGGAGAAAACCGTCAATTTTTCTTTTTTGTTTTTGTTAACCTGGTTATAGCCAAACTCACCATCAACAAATGTTTTCTACGTTTATCAAGAGCTTTTTCATGAGGCTGCATAAAACCTTTATTTTTGCTCTTCTTGTTTTTTTGTCATGGTTATAAACTCATAAATCAGAAAATAATTTCTAAGTTTATCAATAGGTGGCTGTAAAAAAACCGTTAGTTTCGCTCATTTTTTTGTTATCATGGTTATAGCCTATCTCATCAAGCAGCAAATGATTTCTACGTTTATCAAGAGCTCTTACATCATTCTGTAAAAACTTATCAATTTTGCTCATTTCCCGTTATAATGGTTATAGCAAAACTCACCATCAACAAATGTTTTCTACATTTATCAAGTTCTTTTCATGAGCTTGCAGAAAACCGTCAATTTTGTTCATTATTTTTCGTTATTATAGTTATAGTCAAACATATCAATCTGCAAAATGATATCTATGTTTATCAAGTTCTCTTTCATCGGATTGCAGAAAGCCGTCAATTTTGTCTCTCTTGTTTTGTTATCATGGTTATAGCAGCACTCATCAATGCACAAATAATTTTTACGTTTATCAAAGGCTCTTTCATTACGTTGCATAAACCCATCAACTTTTTTTTTTATCATGGTTATAGCCAATCTCATCATCAGTAAATTATTTCTACGTTTGTCAATAGTTTTTTCGTGAGCCTGCAGAAAACCGTCAATTTTGCTCCTTTTTCGTTATCATTGTTATAGCCAAACTCATCAATCATCAAACGATTTCTAGGTTTATAAAGATCTCTTTCATTAGACTATAGAAAGCCTTCAATTATGGTTCTCTTGTTTTGTTATCATGGTTATAGCCAAACACATTAATGAGCAAATAATTTTTACGTTTATCAAGTTCTTTTTATGAACTTGCAGAAAACCGTCAATTTTGTTTATTGTTTTTCGTTATTATAGTTATAGTCAAACTCATCAATCTGCAAATGATTTCTATGTTTATCAAGTTCTCTTTTATCGGATTGAAGAAAGCCGTCAATTTTGTCTCTCTTGTTTTCTTATCATGGTTATAGCCACACTCATCAATGAGCAAATAATTTTTACGTTTATCAAGGGCTTTTTCATTACGTTGTAGAAACCCATCAATTTTATTTTTTTAATCATGGTTATAGCCAAACTCATCAATCAGCAAATGATATTTATGGTTATCAAGGGCAATTTTATAAAGTTGCAAAAAACTGTCAATTTTACCTATTTTCCGTTATAATGGTTATAGTAAAACTCTTCAATTAGCAAATAATTTATACATTTATCAAGAGCTCTTTCATCAAATAGGAGAAAACCGTCAATTTTGCTTTCTTGTTTTTTGTTATCCTGGTTATAGCCAAACTCACCATCAACAAATGTTTTATACGTTTATCAAGAGCTTTTCATGAAGCTGCATAAAACCTTCATTTTTGCTTTTCTTGTTTTTTTTTATCATGGTTATAAACTCATAAATTAGAAAATAATTTCTACATTTATC